ACCTTGCTTTAATTTTGTTACTTGCATTCAAAATATCCTGATTATTTTTCATTATTTTTGCCTGGACTGAATCTTTTCATCAAAAATGTTGTAAACCGCATCCCATGACTTTTGCAGCAAGTAATTGATGAATAATTTTGTTTTACTTTAGTGACAAATCGACTCATACGTGTATCATTAATGTGTCAGTGTTCGCAATTCTTATAATGGTAAGATTTTTTAAAATTTATTCATTTCACGTTCGATCAAAGGTCTTTCGAGAGGTTTCAGTTTTACATACTGACGTTTTTTGGGATTTAGACATTCTTTGACAAATTGAGGTTAAATACTCTGGCTCATTTAATTCGTTCGTTTTCTTCTAGAAGCTACTGGAATTTAATCTTGATTTTTTTTGGGGGGGGATAAACTGTTAGGATTGCCCTGACGAGCAATAGGAAGGGAAACGTGAAATATTCTACGGAGATACGGGATGATATTATTAGTTTAGAGAGGTTTAAGCATACATTTGGGAAACTTAGATTTGATTCGACTTGGGATGTCTGCTGTTCGGTCTAAGTGGAATTTCAAAGCGGAATGAGATGAGGGAAGGGAAGAATAGAAATTATTTGCTTCTCTAGCTCGGTTTCCATTTGGAGTTCTCTGTGAATTTGATGGCTAGGTATAAACCATGGAGCTTTAGAATTGACTTCCTGAGGACTTTATTTTGGACTATTTGCATTTTTTGTATGGTGGCGGAAGCAGCGTTTCCCCACTCCGGGCAAGCATAAGTTAGTGAGAGTAGGATGTTAGATTTATATAATAGAACCTGGCATTTAGTATTGAATATTGATTTATAAAAGGGTATAGTTTTAATATTTTGGCATTGGATTTGTTGATAGCTGCGTGAATATGTAAGAACGTGTGCATTGTGATCACTGTGTCTTAATCTTTGGTTTCAATTTCATATTGAGTAGTCAATATCATATCAAGTAGTGGTGTTGTTAATAATTATTTGATCGGGAGCTTTTTTTGAATTTAGTGTGATCCACGTAGGTGCATTTATTGTAATGTCTAAACTGAAGAAATGAATTAAGTTGAGAAACTGCTCTTTCTCGCAAGATTCGACCACAAAATCAATGTTAAAATCTCCGCTTACAACAATGGATTCAAGAGAGCGATTGCTGACTTTACTTAGTGATATCTGCAGTTTATTAAGAACATAATATAATCTACTGCTCTCTTTGTTGGGGGTCTGTATGCAAAGTAATATAATGTTTAGCGTAGGAAGATGTACTACAGATTTTCAAAAACATTTTCAACAAAATACACATTTAATTTCGTCAAGGTGATAGAATTGATATTATTTCTAACGTAAATGCAAGAATCCCCATATGCAGGACCTCTATGCAATTCTTTTTTCTACTATAACAGCCCGCGAGGTAAAAGTTTGGAATTTGGAAAATACTTAGTTCATTGTGAAATAACCAATATCCTGTAAAGCGAAGAACATCCATTTGATTTGAATCGCTCTGTAGAGCTGCTTCGGTAAACTCAGTTTTATTTGAAAGGGTGGTTAACATTAACATTATGGTGCAGTATGTTTATTTTTTTGCAAGTACTTACACGGATTTCTACTTCATCTGACTACAGTTGCTGTATATTTATTACATTTTTACTTCGAGTGCGTGGTCGAAGGTTGTAATGTGTCCCGGCAGTGTCGGGTTGTGAGAAAAGTGTCAGGTGTAGGTGAATTGGTGGTGGGAATAGGTGAAACGGGAGTAGGATCAGAGGAGGAGGTACGAGTGTTCGAAATAAGGGTGAGGGTGGGGAACGTAAGGAAGGGGAAAAATATGGATTTGGGGCAGGAGATTGCGTAGGACTGAAGTTTATGATGTGTTGTGCAAGCTTGTTGCCGCCTGCATGTTTTTCAGCAAGGTTCGTGTAGAGAATATACCGGGTGAAGTGGATTTCGGAGCAGCCCTGAAATGAACCCCTTTTCGCTGTGTGCGCGCAGGGACATTGTATCGTTAGAAACTCGCCACTAGCGCAACATGTTTAATAAACTAGTCATTGAAGTTGAGGAAATAAGACGCTCACAATAAAACTGAAGTTATAAATTGAGGATGGATTTTTAAGTACAGTCAAATTGAATCTGTGATTGGGCCGACGGCTATAAAATTGTGAATGAGTGAAATAGAAGTTATTGAAATATTACACAGCTGCAAAAATAAATTCTCGGCGCTTTTTGGTCTGATGGGTGATTTGAATTTATTTAAGCTAATAGATTACAAAAACATTTTCTCTAACGCGTAAGATTTGTTTGTAATTTCAAAGAAAAGACTAGTAAACAAAAACTCTTTGATTTATGGAAGTTTTGGTTTATTTTGCGCCCCCAAAACTTATTTTCTACGAAGAGGAACTACACAATAACTTTGAAAGTATAATATATTTAACTTTTGTATTCGTTTAAACATTAAGTTAGTTTTTACTTACAATATTTAGAGTCTTTTTCACCAGTGCC